GGTCTCGGGGAGCATGGAGCCGAGGAGCACGGCGCAGGCGGGTTGGCCGCGCAGGTGTGGTCTCGAGCAACATGCGGCCGAGGAGCACGACGCAGGCGGGCAGGCCCCGCAGGTGTGGTCTCGGGCAACACGTGGCCGAGGAGCACGGCGCAGGTAGGCTGTGGCCCAGGGGTATGGCTCAGGCGGGCAGGCCGCGCAGGCGTGGTCTCGGGTGATATGAGGAGCACAAAGCAGGCGGGTTACGGCCGAGGGGTATGGCTCAGGTGGGCAGGCCGCGCAGGCATGGACTCGGGCAGTCTGCGGTCGAGGAGCACGGCGCAGGCGAGCTTCGCTCGGAAGAGACTGAGGTGGGGCCTAGATTTCTTTTCACGAGGACTACATCGGATAGCCACCGCGGGTGCTTGACCTCTTCTATGGAGCCCGCTGCCAAAAGTCGTCCCTTCTCACAGCTACCCAGGCCTCCGTCGCGATGTACTGTTAGCCCGCTGGAGCATATCTGGTACCGTGGTGGGGGGTCGCTCCATGAGGGACCAGAGGAATCTGGAAGGTCGCATGCCTATCATAAACGCCTTTGGTTGAGTCCGAGGAGCAGTGCAACGAACGGCTTTTGCCGGGCGTAGGCCAAGAAGTTAAGCTCGAAGTCTTTGACGAGCTGATCAAAGGAGGCGATCATCCCGGTCTTCAGACCGCTGTACTATGTACGGGCTGGCCCCCTCAGAGTCGTGGGAAGCGCCCTGCACATCAAAGCGTCAGAGGTTCCATATAGCGCCATTTGGGCACGGAAAGCGGCTACGTGGTCTGCTGGGTCAGTGGCGCCGTCATATGCGTCCAGAGAGGGGAGCCGAAAGTTCGGGGGGACTGTCTGATCTTGTATCTCGGGCGCGAACGGAGACCCTTGGTGTGCGTCCTCCCCGAGCTCTCCCTTTGACTTGCGAACCTCCTTCTCCACTTCGTCGAGCCGCTGACTGACAAAGCGTAGCTGGGCTCGCAGGGAGTCCGTTGAATCCGAAGATAATGCCTCGGGTTCCGGGCGACCGCTCGGGTTTGCCATCACTTGATCCCCGAGTGGGGCCGATCGGACCCGAGGCGAAGTGGGGAGCTCCGGAAGTGGCGTGTGGGCCCGAACGGGCGGCTCCTGTTGCTGCAGTGGTTGGATCGCAAGCGGGTGCGCCGGATGAGAAATGAGCGGGATAATGGTTTGCACCATACCCGTCAGAGCTCGGACTTGATGAGCGAGGTCCTGAAAGGCCTCGGATTACACGGGCGACGGGTCAGCTAGGGCTCCTTTGGGCGGCGACCAACCCTGGTCGTTGAATAACCGCCAATGGCGCTCTGAGGTCACGGCGGGGTGCTCAGCTCGAGGTTCTTCACGCGGGGGGTGTTCCCTCGGAGCTCCGATCTGGTGTGACCCCTCAGCCGCGAGCTCGTCTGAGTCGATTGGGCGATCCCTTGACATTCGAGCCCTCCTTCTAGCGCCAAAATGTTAGTGTAAACAACTTTGTGCCGTGGCCTCGGGGCCGACGTGGCTTGTTTCGGGGCCGAATGATGGGGATCTTTGCTCGAGGTCTCTCGGGATTGCTAGGGTGACCGGGCGTGCGGACCGGATCACGTCTGGGTTCGTCGGGATATCCCGTGGGGAAGGCGTCCTCTCCTTGCATCCCGAGGAAATA